GAGCCCCGAAAGCCTTTCCCCCCTGTCCCAAACCAAGGGGGGGGGGGGGGGGGGAAAAAAAAAAAAAAAAAACAAGAGAAAAAAAAAAAAAGAAAAGAAAAAAGCCAGCATTATCTGCCTTTGTCAGCGAAAGAACATAATATTGACTTACCTTTCCCCACAGCTATTGTCTGCCCCTTTACAAAATGACATCACGGAAACCAATCATGAAATTTGCATGGGGGAGGTTGTGGGGGGAGAGTTCTTGGAGGGCAGCCCACTTCCCTACACCAGTAACACGCGTGTAAGACGGGTTGTTGGTTTCAATTAAATATCTGATACTCCTTAGTGTGTGAACTCTTAAGCCTGCTAAAGGCAATGTCTCATTTACTTAATGACCGCTCTCATTAATGGAAATGGCACAGAGGGGGCTTGCTGCGCCTTCCCTTTGTAAATACACTACCCATGAACCCTTGGGGTTGCAATATATCTGTTTACTCTCTGAGGTGAAATAAATTTACAGTATAGCATCAAAGAGAGCGAGCGAGAGAGATGGAGCTGCTGCCTTGAGTGCACAGAGAGTTGGGGCTCTCCCAGCCCCGCCAGCCCCTCTCTCCTCGCACTCCCCCCTCCCCAAGACCCAGCAGAAGGTGAATGATTTTACCCGAGCTGATTCATAATTAATATGCACGAGGCTCGGGGCTCCTTTGATAGCAGCAACACAAAAGGACGGCGAACACGACAAGCGCCGTGCCGTGTCCCCCCCGCGCATCCCGAAGCGTGGTACGGCCCAATAATTCCTAATAGCAGCAAGCAGCGAGTGACAGATGCCCTGGGTTAGCACAGCTCCAGCGAAAGTACTTTACAATATTTATTGGTGGTTAGGAAGATGACCTATCACCATAAAGAACAGACTGGGAAATTTATCGCCTCTATGAACCTGGAAGTATTGCATATTAGCTGATATACATATTCAAAAGTGAGTGGTTAAAAGGTGTATAAATATTTTATTTTTTTTTCCCCTCCCCTTAAAAGGAAAAAAAATAATAATGATGACACAACGCAAATTCCCAGCAGACAACACCTCACTCCGGGAAAGAGAGATCATGGCTCAGGGGTTACATTCTGGACTTTGTGATGGGAAGAACAACACAAGGAAAAGTCCTAAAAGAAAACAGTGACTAAGATAGCGTGGAGACTCTTTTTAAGTGAGAAAAGTGCATGTTCCTGCATTATGCATCTTTTCCTCTCAGAAAGAGTCACACTTTCATCATTTCTCCTTGAAAATGCTCTGCTTGGTGGAGATCTGGCCACTCTGGGAGGAAAAAGTCTTCTCCGAGCTGGAAGGAGGGAGGCTCTGGGGAGAGACCCCGGCACCGTGTGACAGGAAGGGCATTAGCACATCCCATCTATGTCCCCTGACAGATCGGAGCATTAGCACTTAGATTACAACTTTTTGGGAATAGCGGGGGAAAACACAGGCAGGCTGCAGCCCCACGGGGTGGGGGGGACACTTTTCTACCCAGCGCTTTTCCCTGAACCCTCGTGCCATCCTCAGCATCACCGAGACAATTAAGACTTTACTGTCATCTTAATAAAGACTTCCAAAAAGATGCGGGAGCTCACAAATGTACAGAAACCCCAAGAGTCCTTAGAGAGCCGAGCAAGCAGAGCCTGGCAGGAAAAGCTGAATCCTGCTGGGGATGCACTCTCCTGTGGAAAACTCCAGCTACAGAGCCACAGAGGTCCCAGACACCTTTCCAGTTCACCCCTGCCCTGGTCGGGTCAGGTGCAGGCAGGAGCAGGAAAAGCCTCTCCAGCTGCCCAAAGCTGGACACCTGCCTGGCAGCACGAGCATAAGTGGGTACTGCAGGCACTTGTGCTGTCTCACCCACGGACCATCACAGGGCACGTGGCAGGAGTGATTCGATTTCCCATCTCAGCCATTTTACTGAGCAGTGGGTGACAAAAATACTAATTTTAAACTGTTGAGGCCACTTTGGAGATTCTTATGATGCCCATTTCCATGGCTTGCCAGCCTGATGTGCTCCTAAACCATTAACATAAAGGAGATATTCAGCAGAGAGTACTCCTGAAAAGCTGTTTTCTATCTCCTTTGGACACGCCACGAAGATAGGGATATTTTACATCCTAAACCTTTGGCATTCAGAAATTCTATTAAACTCTTATCTGCAGGCAGCAGGCCTGGTGCTACACTGCATCTCCATTGTTCTGCACCCGTGATAGAATCAAAGGGAGGGCTGGGTGGACTCAGCTCCTCTGTGCTCACAATGCTGCCTGCTCCTCTCCACCGCTATTTCATTTAGACACGAAATGCTAAAACTTGAGAAACAAAAGCACAATAGATCGGCTGGAAGGCAGGAGGGAAGCGTGTTTACTTGTGTGTGCTTCCACATAAATCGGTGCACACGCACACTGCATGGATATGAGCACACACATGTGCCTCTCCAAGCGTTAAGAGATGAATTTTATTATTGCTGTTGTTGCATTTATTAACACGCGACGCACCTAGAAGCCCTGAGGCAGCTGACAGCTTTGATACCACTCTACTAAGCTCTGGGCTGCGAGAGGGTGTTTGGCTTTTCTTTGTTCCCAAACTCGCCAGACTTCCCTGTCTTCTCTCCGCCGTCCTCCCAAAATCTCCCCAAACGCTGCAAACAAGCAGCTTTCCCTGGAGTTTCTCACCAACAACAACTTCAGCAGCGGCAGGAATTCTCATCTCGCGCCCCCCAAGCCCCTCCCGACCCCCTGAAGACCTCTGTCTCGGGCCAACACCCGCTCCCACCACGTTGGAGGAGCCCGCGGGGGAACGCGAGGCCACGCGTGGGCTCCAGAGCGGCGGCGGGTCAGCACCACGGACAGCTCCGCCCGCTCCCTCCCCAGCACAGTTGCGACCTTTTTAAGCATTTTTCAACCTTTTTTTTTTTTTTTAATGTTCTCCCTCCCTCCCCATCCCCCCCAGTCTCTCCAGAGTCACTTTACAGCTGTTTTCAGAGAGGAGATAATTATCGCGCGTTTCCAGGTCTGAAAGAGCTGTCGCTTCCCTAAAGGGAGCCGTGCAGCAGAGAGGTATAAATTAAATGTTCACGTATTTTCATCTTCAGGGTGTTGAGACAGGGGCTCCGAGGGTCCTTGCCTGCGGGGCCGAACCTAGAGAGGATTTTTACAAGTAGAGTCCCTTCACACCCCTCCCTTCCCCTGCTCTACGTGCCATTTTTTTTTAATCTTACTGTGCTCATGTTTTCAGATCGAGCGCTTCAAGTTTGAAATTACTTAAAATAAAACTCCATTTGCCTGTGTAAACACAGACAAACCCACCGCACTCTGTTCCATTGGCTTCTTTGAATCTGTTTCAAAGAAAATTAGATCTCAAACTTTACGCATTCGTAATTGGCACCAACTTCTCCGGTTACCAGCTGGGGGTGAAAGATTCTTTTTTTTTTCCTCCTTGTTTCTTTCTGAAAGCTTCTATGCAGATGGGCTGGCTGCCTTAATGCCTCAGACTACAATTAGTGCTGTTGTATGCCGAATAGAAATGGCCAGCATTAATATTGTATATGGAACAGCTGAAGGGTTGCAGAGAAACCTGCCCACTACAGGCCCCTGGCAGATGGAACAACATGCACAGGCACAAAAAACTTTTAATAACCCTTTGCTCGCTCTCCAGCGCGCCCCTTCTCCCCGATTTGGGCGGTTCCTTCCCGAAGAGGCAATGCCTTTGTCTAACCCAAATCTAGAGCTCTTTTCTCCCTGAAGGACAGCAATTGGAGCAATCACCATCTTTTGCAAAAGGCACCTCGCATTATCCCAAAACTTCCTCCTTTGTGCCTCAGCTAATGCAGGCACTGAAATACACACCGGCTGAACAGGCACGAACTAACTTTTTATTTAATAACATCTCCCCCCACCCCTTTATTATCCAACAATGTACAAGGGGGGGGGGGGGGGGACGGGACGGGGGACGGACACAAAGCCAAATCAAACCACCAGCCCTTTCCCCTGAAGAACTGTGACCAGAAGCTGCAGAAAACAGGATTTTCTCCTCACCACCCTTCCCTTCGCTCCTCGTCCTTTGTAATTAGGTGAAACCCGCGGCAGTGGGGACAAAGCCCCGCCGGTGCCTCGGAGCAGCAGCACCGGGGGCCGCACACCCCCCGCACCTGGAACCTTTCGCAGCCGAGCCCGGAGCAAAGCGAGGAGGGGCGGGGATGAGCCCCGGACCTCGCTTGCTAAACACAAACACGGGAAAACTGCGCTCTGAAATACACTCGGAAATCACTTTCTGCCACGACACTGGGGAGGAAAATATAAAACAAGGAGGGACCGGGTAATTTGTAGGTCCGCGATCCTCCCCCCTCACGGCAACCAAGCCCCTTTGCCAAGGCGTGACTTAGGCAGAACTAAGCAGCTCAAGTGTTTCAGAAGAGAAACGGGGGAGACACACTGAGGAACAGCCTCCCTACGCTCACACCCCACCCCTCCCATCCTCCGGCGGACGGCTACGAACCGAGGAAAGTCCCGCAGAGCTTCATCCTTGCCGGGTGGCGGTGGCTGCCTGGCCCGGGGCGGCTGGGGGAGCGGGCGCGGAGCCGCCCGGGGTTACTCCATCATCCCTAGGAAAAGTTCCCGTCCGGAGCAAAAACTTATGGGCGGTGGCGGCCAATGGGGCCGCGCCGCAAAATCCTCGCAGCGCACTCGGCGGCCAATCCGGTCCCCCCCGCCCCCGCCCGGGGATGGGCACCCCCCTTCACTGCCTCCCCTCCCAGCCCGGAGGGGGGGGCGGCTGGGGAAGGGGACCCGTCCTCCCCAGCGGGCGGGGGCTCAGCACCTCCCTCCTGCCTGTAATTAGGAGAGAGATGAAGTGATGGTGTGCACATCCCAGTGGAGGGGTGTGTGTGGGGGAAGCATCCCGAGGGAGTCCAGTCATGGAATGGTTTGGGTTGGAAAGGACCTTAAAGACCATCTCATTCCAACCCTTTGCCATGGGCGGGAACACCTTCCACTAGACCATGTTGCTCCAAGATCCATCCAACCTGGCCCTGAACACTTCCAGGGATGGGGCAGCCACAGTTTCTCTGGGCAACCTGTGCCAGGGCCTGCCCACCCTCACAGGGGAGAATTTCCTAATATCTAATCTAAATCTCACCTCCATTAATTTAAAAGCA